AAAAAAAAAGAATGGGGGGAAATTTTTTGTGTTAATCTGCTGGAATTGTGTATCAGTGCGAAGTATTATGTACGAATTAATGTGGGTAGTATTCAATAAATGTATACGATTTTCACCAACTTTTGGGCTAATATGTCATCATAAGAGGCGGTGTAGTTTCACATGCTACGTAAATCTGGCAATAAACAGTTTTATGAAAATTTGGTGCTGGGGCCGTATGCTATCCTTCCCCGAAGCTAGGTGATCCAAAGTTTCCTTTAAATTTATTTGTTTTGAACGATATAGTTTCTTCATTTTCAGTGCATGTTTACTTTAACCTACATACATACATTAAATGTAGGCCCTTTATCAGGACAATCCCAGTTGGGAAGACAGAGAAAATTTAAAGGGATTTTCGTCCCTAAACCCTTCGGGAGGATAACATACGGCACCTGGCCTATGTAGGATCGTACAAAAACTGTGAATGCAATCATAACTGCACCTCCAGCGCACCTACATGCACCTCCATACACGATGAGACTAAACTAATTTCCAGCTATCTATCACTGGGCATCATCCAATAGCACGCTTTGGTACCATGCACCTCATAGCTGCCAATCTGTGGACATGGATAAGATATGTACTGTTGGAAGAAGGGGCAATGGAGAAAGAGATCAGGTAAGTATGGTTCTTTGCGTTTATCTTGAACTCTATTTTAATTTGGATTTCCAGAGAAGTTTTCCATGCGATAAGCAATCATACTGAATCAGGAATGGATGAGGCCACGCTTGAAGCATTTGAACATCGAAATATCGACAGCAGCTGCCGATCAGTCGAATGCATGCTGGGTACATTTGGCTATCTTTTGAAACTAATAGACTTTCAGCATAAAACCAAAAGAATGCAAAATGGATACGCCAATTGGTGCGATGGTTGTTCGTGGATGCATATGAGCCTACGCCGCGATAAAATAACCGCGATAGTCACTGAGCAATCACCACTTCTTAAGATTTGTCACACATTCAACTTCCATTCAAAACTGTAGTGCGTTGCAGTGCCCGTATCTATACACGGTGAATCTGTCATACTAAATGAGTATATGGAAGGATGTTGAACACGTCGTTGACGACATCGCGCGTTTTGAGTTTTTGCACGGCGTGGGACCAGAGCGATTTTGCGCCGCCGCCGCACACCAAATCCATGGATTTTGAGCTGTAAATACGCAATACTTAGATGCGATGAAGTGTTTTCAATAATGTTCGATCTGTCTAACTTTATCGGGAGTTACAGTAATGGAAGTTCGACCGAAATGACGTGTTAAGGCCATGAAAAGGCAAATTTTACTTACTTTCCCTTTAGTGGTTCCAAAATTAATTTGGACGTGGTTGTTTCAGTAAAAACACATATCTTCCCATACGAATAGGTTTGTATTCGCTTCTATTATTCCTTTTTATCAACATGTTTACGTTAATGAAAAGAAAACGAGGAATGAACTGAACAGACATATCCGTAAGGTCTGGAAAACCTCTGCCAAACTAAAGAATATTTGGCCTTTCTGTGAGCCATGTGGTTTTTAAGTATGCTAATGTATGGCCTATAGAATGAGTACAAAGACCTTAGGAATAAGTCGCGCAAGCGCAAGAAAAAGGGATGACTTGGGTGGGACGCGTTACCGCGTCACAATGTCCCACGAGGTGCGCAAAGTGGGACGCGTTACCGCGTCATGCTATCGTCAACGTGCTAATAACTCAGTGTCTTCATCACCGCAAACAAGTTTTGTACCACATAAATCCGCCATGTGTGAAAGATGGTGACACCACCTGAGCCACCTTCGCTCTTCGGAAAATTCATCAGAACATCTCTTATCAAGAATCATGAATATAAGAAGAAAAGGAAAATGACACCACGGCTTTAAGCTCTTCATTCATTTCTTTCCTTGTAATACTAGTGTAATAGTAGTTGTGTTTAAATCAAAAGTCGAAGTGTTCTTATACTTATTGCGCTGCAGGAAGTGTATCTGAAGTGATGTATGCGGCCATAGTCGAATACTCACTAATAGCAGCAGCCGTCATGTATATTGTGTGGAAGAACATAGGAAAAGTGCACTACAGCTCGGAGTATGTGAAAAGGAAGTATCATATTCGAATGGATTGCTCCAATACTACAACAGGTAAGGGTCACACATCTGCACTCATTGAATATCACATAGTGGCTGCCTTTACAGGGCTTTTTCTTGGATTGATTTTCCTGATAGGAACTTTCTCGTCAATGCTAATTTATTACGGTTACTCAATTCTTGGTAGAGACACGAGTGCAGCGTTTGCCTACGCAATAACAGATGTCGTACAGGTGCCGATCTTCAGAATAAGTGAAGCTCCATTGCATTAGTACCGTTTTTGGAAGTACAATGGAGTAGACCTTCTCGTTACAGTACATCTTAGCTACAATTGGCTGTGTGATGGCTATCTATTATATGAAAAGTTTGGCCCAAGTCGACAAACGCGACAGTCACATGACGAGAGACCAGGTAGAGCAACTTTGTTATACTCCTATCAAAACTCATGGCTCCATTAATTTTTATCAGATCCTATCATTAGTTGTCTAAGCGCGCAGCCCGAAAATCATGACACCTCATTCAAGCGTCGATGGGCAGAGCGCTGGAGCGATGTGGGAGCGCACGGATGCTGGATAATTCATGTAGACAAAATACACTGAACAGTGTCAGGTTATGACTTTCAGGAGTAAAAAAGGTAAGGTGTAAGTAAAGGAGAAGGCGTAGAGGAAACGTCTTTACCTCTGCCTTCCGATTTTAACAGTAGAGTGGCTTAGCATCCTGCTATGGACCGACCACAAAAAGGGATCAGTCGAGCTTTCAGAAGTGGTCGGGCTGGAATTTGATTGACGGCACCTGCACCCCACCACGGCATGCGACACTTATCGAGTTCGCTACGTAGTGGGTCTTCTGACCGAAGTCCGACTAAACTCGCGTTCAGACTGCGTTTGCATTTTATTCATGAATCAGCTCACATGAAGATAACAGTGCTATTTTTTATTACTCAAGAGCTCAGATTCTTCAGAAGGGAGCGGGTTAGATAAAGGGGGAGCGCATCGGAAGATGCGTCTTGCGAAGCAGCTACTTGGCTGCAAAGGAAGCGAGGTGTGGCGCTTTCACGCCGAAGGTGCGCTGGTTGTTGAGCATGACCGTCCTAAAAGCGATCCATACACTAGTTCAGTTGATGATTTGGAAAATTGTGTTGCCACCAGCGGCACAACTGGAGCAACTCGACTGAAGCATAGATTGGCATGGAGTTGCGGTAAACCCGCTCATACGTGTCTTGTCTGTCTTCGACGTCACCCGTCTTTGAGCACAGATCAACGGTCATTCAAAGGGGGGAACCCCTTCCTTTTTTTGACAGATTTCTTTTTTCGCTCCACTTAGCTTTCCCACGTCCCCTATAGATCCCTCTATCGTAATCGCTGCCTTTAGCTACGGAAGCTTGAAAAAGATGTTCTCGAAGGATCTCAATAATACAGCAACTGCTAAATAAGTTCCAAGAAATGGAGTTCGCTCAAGATCACGGACAAAAAGTCCAAAAAAGCATACGCGTGTTACGTGAGAAGTAGTATCTTTCCAATCAAATAAAGTCGTTGCCTACTCACTAGCCAGCTATGGACGGTTACGTGTTGATGCAAAACTTAGCAGCGCGGTAACCATCATTTCTGTGTGCAAAAAAGTTCTGTATAAACTTAATTTAGGAACTTCTTGACCAAATTCTTTTATGGCTTGGGCTGGTCGGTGAGCTCATGTACTCTGTAGCAGGGCTCGTTGGCTTGACAGGAGAAGGTCAATGGCAGCCACTCGCTTTTCTTCTTTTTGTCGTGCACATACTGAGGCTTATCCAGGTGAAAATTACGACTTGACATCATCACTTCCTTTGTAGCGTTTTTAAACCTTTCTTCAATCAGTATTGACTAAACATCTATTGTTGGAAGGATTGCATTGAGCTTTTCAGGTTGGTACGCAGACATTCGTGATCTATCTTGCAACCAAGGTGAAAGCCGGGACGTCCAATAAACGAAGTCAGCCTGGAAAACAAGCCATCACGTTTCTCTTAGCGGTCAATCTGTCTTTATTTATGATGAACCTTCTGCAAGGTCAAAAGCCAGCTCTTTCTGAGAATATTATTGGTGAGGATTCA